CCCCCACTATTATGATCCCAAATCTACCTTACAAATATGGCTAGACCAGAGGATGTACAGTGGTACAGATAGGAACTGGAAACACAGGGAATCCATGATGGATGATCCCTTTAGGACCAGTGGTGAGAGTGGCGATAGTGGGAGTGTAGAGGGAGGATGGGTTAGAAAGGAGGAACCGATTACAAGGACCTACATGTGACCTCCTCCCTGGGGGACTGACAACAGAAAAGTGGGTGAAGGGATACGTTAGACAGTCCAAGATATGACAAAATAAAAATTTACAAATTATCAAGGGTTCATGAGAGAAGGGGGAGCGGGGAGGGGAGGGAAGGGAAAAAATGAGGAGCTGATGCCAGGGGCTTAAGTGGAGAGTAAATGTTTTGAGAATGATGAGGGCAATGAATGTACAAATGTGCTTTACATAATTGATTAATATATGGATTGTGATAAGTTGTATGAGCCCCTAATAAAATGATTAAAAAAAAAAAAAGATGTGTGCCCTGCTGCAGAACCAACCTGGTGGGATCCAGCCATTTATTTCCATAAGTAAACATGGGGACATCTGGAAAAACGACCCATCTGGAATAGGATGAGAGTTGGCAGGGCAGTTCTCAGAGGCATATGCATCAGAAAGGCTTCCTTTGTGCAGAGTGTATAGATAACATGAGAGAAGAACCACCACGGTCCCTGTCTGGGTCAGAAGCAGACGGAGACTGGTTTCAAGCTGAGAGTCCGCATTTGTAGGTAAGTGATGCCACAAGTGGGGAGCAGGGGTGGAGAGGCCTCGGGGGTTGGGGTGGGGGAGCATGTTACAACACTTCACTGGGCAGCATGACTTTACAGCTGGACGGGACTAAGAAGTAACTACAACCATAACTTACCGAGACCACGGGAATGTAAACCAAGCCCAAAGCAGCCTCCTCTGTGTGCACCAGTACAGCTGTGTCACCAACGTTCCAATAGACCAGAGTTGAGAGACGGTATGGGGACACTGGGGCTATAGCATTTCATCGCACAATACTATGGAGGCACAGACTGCTCTGGGGACCTGCTGTTGTAAAGGACGGATCACCAGGGAAAGAGGATTTGGTGCTCTTGGCTTAGTTTATGGCTTTCTGAAAACCAAACAAAACTCCCTGTCTCTGAGTCGATGCTGACTCACAGCGACTGTGTCAATGTGACCGGGTAAAACTGTCCCTGTGGATTTCAGACACTGTAACTCCTTACGGGAGTAGAAAGCGGCATCTTTCTCCCGAGATTTGGCTGGCGGTTTTGAATTGCTGACCTTGTGGGGAGCAAACCACCACCAGAGTTCCTCTAGCCCTTAGGTAAGGCACTGTTCTTTACATGGAGGTCCCCAAATCCTCTGTTGGCAACAGACTTAAAACC